TCAAGGTAAGAATCATCAAGGTAACACTGTCAAGGTCGTAGTCAAGGTAACAACGTGACGGTACTAATCAAGGCAACAATGACACGGGTCAAGGTAGCAGTGTCAAGGTCGTAGAAAAAAACAGGCTGCGAGAATCAGAATCCTCATGCCCAGGAAGATGAGCTGTGTTGTTCTATCACAAAAAGCCTCAAACCCGAAATCCAAGAAGGTCCTCAAATAGTTCTGCCGAGAACCGCTGCTGTGTGGTTTCCCATGATGGTCCTAGTGTTGCTGTGGACGGGCCGTGGTGATGGGTCGTCGTCGTCGTCGTCCCTGCCACCGTCGTGGGGGCATCCAGCAAAGATTGGCAGCTGCTCGTCGTGAGGAGAAGCAGGCTGCAACTGCTGACGAGGATGCTACTTTTGCTGATGAGGATCAGGCTCCTTCGAGCCTGGCACGGAACTTACTAACACGTTTTGCCTGGGGCCAGATGTCGCCCCAGACCGTACAGGACCTGGCCAAGTCGGCCTGCCGAGACCTGGTGCTGCAAGCTTCTCGAGCGGTTGCTGCCGTTGCCGGTTCGTCTTCTTCTTCTCGCAAGAGAAGAAGGCGAGAGGAGGATGATGAGGACAACAACGGCTCGTCGTCCTCCGAGGATGCCCCCAACAGCAAGAAGCCTGATGCAGGGAGCTTTGTCCCGCCAGAGCTGGATACCCTGGGCAAGCTTGGAGCATCCGGCCAGTACCAAAACAAGATCTACGGCCAGCTCATGGCGAAAACTGAGGCTTTGATCCGTCTGCCGGCTTGCTTCGAGCACAAGCTCAGTTTCTCGAAGCCTCAGAAGGCTGATTTTCGACAACTGCTTCTGCTTCCCCACATCCTTTTTTCTCACGTTTACCACAACGAGAAGGCCCTGTGGCACCGATCTTTTGTGGCCTCCTCCGAAAGGCTCCAAGCCTTTTGGTCGGCCGTCAAGGCCGTCCCGCACCCAGCCTGGGTGAAGCATCCTCTTCGATTGCAAGAGGAAGCAGGCAAGAGGAGCACCATGAGGTGTGTGCCACTCTCGGTGCACGGCGACGAGGTACCCGTCGCTGGACTGGGTAAAGTTTGGGGGCGGAAGATGGTGAACTGGTCATTCAGCAGCTTGGCTGGCCTTGGGGCGACGAAAAGCTCCCAGTTTTGGATATGGGGGATGTTTGAGAAGGTGGGTGTGCCCGGAACCACATTGGAGCAATTCTTCAAGGTTCTCTCTTGGAGCCTGTACTGGCTCTGGATGGGAGTTTGGCCCGAGACGGACGTCAACGGCGAACCGAGCCTTGTTGTTGTTTTGCTTGGGAATGTGTTTTTTTCTTATTGTTGTCAAATTTGCTTGAAAGGGCTGGATAACAATAACCCGATATGGCTATGTTGTCCTACTAGTCCTAGTGCAACTATTAAAGCAAGTGCATAATAACCAGTGGTGGTGGAAATTGAAACCAACCCTGAACCCAACAGCGACGAAGCACACCACCACTATAAGGCATCGTTTTTCTGTTGTCTTTGTTCAAGTAATGAAGAAGAAGAGGACACAGAAATCTTTCTTGTTCCTTCTTCGAGAGGTTTCCTGTGGGCAGCCACGAAAGGCACATGGCCGGCCGCCCTTTGGCAGAAGGGTGGTTCGCCTGCTTGTGGGCTTTGATAGGCGACTTGGAATACCTATCATCCATATTGAGCCTTCCGAGCCACAACAATGCGAAAAATTGCTGTGCTTTATGTAAAGCCGGCTTGACCGGTAGCAATACTTGGTCAGATTTTCGCCCAACAGCTGGCTGGCGGGCTCATCAGTGGACCTACGAGAGCTGGAGATCATGGCCGGGCCGATCACGAAACCAGCTTTTTACCTTGCCTGGAGTAAGTGCCTTGAACGTCCATCTGGATTGGATGCATTCAAAATATTTAGGCATCGACCAGTTTACTTTCGGGAGTTGCCTGGCTTTACTCACTTGCACCGGCATGGTGCCCGGCAGCGAACAGGCTGCCCTGGACACATGCTGGAAGTTCATCCAGGATTTCTACAGAGAGCACAAAACGAAAGTTCGTTTTGGTTACCTGAATCGACTTTCGATGTTTCTGCGGCAATCTGGGTGCCCCAAACTTCGGGGAAAAGCTGCTGAAATCAAACACTTTGTGTACCCTCTGTTATCTCTCTGGGAACTTTATATGAACTCCGGCCTGAAGCTCCACCGGCAAATACGTTTGATGCTGAAAGCAAATGCCCACTTGGAAGATTTGCTGACCCTGTACGAGCAGGACGTGGCTTTCCCACCGCCCGTGGCAGATGACTTTGAAGACACTTGCTGCACTATGCTTTGCCTTCACGGGCAGATCGCTTCGCACTTTGCCGAGGAGGGAACGGACCTGTTCAACCTCACGGGCAAAGCCCACATGGTTCAGCATATATCCCTGCTTGCACGATGCATTTCACCGCGGCAGGCGACCGGACTTGCACTCAGTGCTTTTCCTCCTCCCGCTGCTGTGGGCAAAGTTTTTTTCTTGGTGTAGTAGTCATAATAATAGCACTTCTGCTTTT